TGGGGACTGCTCTCTCCTTGGTTGACACTGCAGATATCTGCATTTTTGTATTGTTTTCACTTATTTATCTGTTAACATAGCAGCACAATTAAAAGTTTTCCAGCCTTTTCACAAAGCCTTTTCATAAATATCTATAAACATTCTCCAAATATTTCATAATCAATCCATTATACAGAAATATACGGCCACCAGAACAATCTCTTCTCCAGAAAGACAAACCCAGGTTTAACACAAAGAAATACCACTATAACAAATCTGTACTTTCTATTCAACAGCCTCTTTTATCCTTTTTTTTCTTATGCTTTGATTTCTTCTCTGTAATTTTGAGAGGCCTGTGTACTTTACATTTCACTAAGCAGTTAACAAGCTGTTCCATTCATTCATTTCTCAGCTTAGCTTTATCTTGAAGATTATAGCTTTCTTATTGTTCTTCCATTCCTTATCTTGCTCATGCCCGACTCTACATTTGAAATCATTTTGCCTATTTGCAAAAAACAGGGGTAGTAATAAATGTATTTCAACATTCTTTTTTTATATATCTGCCTGATTAATAGCATACTGTACATTTCTCAATGCTTTAGCAGCTAAAAGACTTCCCCAAGTCTGTCTTCATACATTTTCATTGGCACTTAAAAATCCAATTTTTATAACACATTCACTATATGAATAAATATTAGCAATTTATGCTCATAAATTTGCACTCCTGTTAAAAATCCATCACCAGCCAAAATAAAAATGAGATATTAGTATTCCTAGTTCGGCAATATATGGAGGTGCTCCAAAAGCAATGCCTCCTGTTTTATTATGTTGGCCCACAGTGCCAGAGGCCAGATGTCAGAGGTATGGCAGCAGAGGCTGAACCTTCCAGCCAATATTCCATTACATTTTGTTGCTGCGCAACCGATGGCAGCAGAGCAGCAGTCTGACAAAGCAAAGATGTGTCACTGAATTCCTTTGTGCGGAAAAAAATGGCACCCTTTGACATGCATTGATGCTTGCTGAATGTTTATGGAGACCAAACAGTGGATGTGAGCACTCACAGTGTGGTGAGTGATGTGTTTCAGCAGTGGCAACAGCAATTCACATCCATTGGTGTAGAAGTGTATGAGCACAGCATGCAGGTTGTTGCTCATCGCTGGTAAAAACGTATAGCTAATGGTGGTGACTATGTTGAAAAACAGTTTTTGATAGCAGAGAATTTGCTCTATATATCTGTTGTAGTTTCCATGGAAATAAAATGGAGACATTACTTTCAACATGATCTATGTACCACTATCAATTACTTTATGTCATTGTCCATCATCAGAAAGCTTTGATGCGGCCCACTGATTCATGGGAAAGCCCATTTAATTCACTGTATACATTCATGTATAATCGGGCAATAGATTTTTTTAGTAGCCATTCCCTCTGACTTTTCTTTGAAATTCCACCAATAATTCCCTCATCTCCTGAAATATGATTATTTTTCCATATGTATCTAAATCTAAGATGTGTAACAAGACAGCCTTTTAAAACACAGGCACGCATTCTAAAGCATGACCTGTGAAAATGAATTACCAACAAATGCCAAAATAGAGTTTTCTACGTGCAGCGAGTAACAAGGTTCAAGCTTTTGGTTTAGGATGCTTATTATATTGACAAAATATGCTGTAAGTCCTGAAAAGGCTATCTGAAGTATGATAATGGGAGCTAAAATAATCATTACTTCACCCACACAGTTGTTCCAAGCCGAATGACAGGTTAAAGCACTTGAAAGAGACAAAAGAAAATGAAAGCCATTGGAAACTTAAAGAAAGAATACCAGAGAAAATCTTTTGATAAATTAGGATGAAAGCGCTTGACAGACACTAAGGATGTTTACATCAAAACTGAAACTAAGTGCCAAGACACCTCAAACATCTATTTGCATAAGTGCAAAAAGCATTCATTAGAACAGGATAAATGTCAACATATCGGGCAGTACACTTTATCCAATCTTGAATATGACCTTAAGTCATAAAAAGGAAAAAAAGAAAAAGTAAAACGTTTGCACACTGTGAATTAAGGTAACAATACTCAGAACAGGAATAAGTGAAGAATCTATTGAAATTCCACAAACGAGGGAGAAGCAGGCATGACATACTGACGAGAGGTATGATTGGTGCCTAACAAACACACTATTCTATGTCCGAGAGTTTGAAATATAACTACATTATTTTGTAGAAATGGTGCACACACAATACCATTCTGCAAGAGAAAGCCAAGAGCAGCCAATTCATCATTTTTCCTCTTCTCCACTCCATTCTGATCTTAACCATCCACTCAGTACACATGCACACCCTAAGGTTTTCAAATCAAAACACCATTTTAGAACCAATACAAATGCTGGTGCCTAACAGTTTACACCCGCCACTGATCTAAACCTATATTAAATGGGAAACAAAGGACAACAGAAACTCCCTCCTTCCTTTGGAAATATTTCATAGTAGGAGACACTGCTGCATTAGTCAGACACAATGGCTCTTTAACAAACACATCAGAAAAAGAGATCAATATCTGTTACAAGGCAAAACCCACTTTTTCCATTTTTAAGGTGATTAAACACTGTTTCTTTTCAAAATGAGTACTCCTAATGTATTGCTTTATCTGATAGATTTCTGCCTGATGAAGTTATGCAAGAATACAATTTTTTCTTAACGAATAAAGCAGGTAACAACTTCTAAAAACTCTGTTCAGAAGAAATGAGCTGGTGGAATTTTTTTGGTTGTTTTGTTTTTAATTTCACTTAAAACTTTCTTATTTTACCTGGGGGAATAAACATTCATTCACTTGTTTGTTCTCTTGAAAAGTAAATTATTCCCTTGTAGAACAGTGGGATATTTCCCTTACCTCTTCATTAGCACCAGTTTACTGAAACAGAGTTACGCAAAATCTGAGCACTGCAGTGCCCTGCAGTTACAGAAATAAACAAGGTTTGCATTTCTCAGCATTCAGCAGTTCTTTACAGCAGGTCCTAAGCCTGGAGCTTCAGCATTATAAACACAAATGTATGGTTAGTCATTGAGGAAAAAAAATGCATTATTCGGCTAGTCTATAGGAAAAAATAACTTCTACAGTAACTGTTTGTCCTCTGGAAATGAATTATAGATGTCACCCAAAGCATTCAGTACTGGCTCTGAATGCAGATATACATGCAGCACAAGCTACTTAAAGGTGATTCCACATCATCTCAAGTCATGCAACTGGGAGTTTGATTTTCATTATTACAGAAGATATAAATAGTACTGAAGTCTACAGTTTATCAGTATAAGTTCGCTACTTTGTCTTCTTCTTATTGGCTTTTATGAAAAGCATCATATCTCACAAACTGCACATTGGCCCCATCTCTTCTTCTCCTGTAATCTCCATCTCAACACTCCTGCTTCTTATTGCAATAATGCCTCCTGTAAAATACGTTCTACACTTTCTCCACTTTCCTACTCCCTGTTCCAGCAACGCTGTTCATCAGCACCAAGAGAAAGTATTGAAACTGAAATTTCATAAAGAGAATTAAAGGTGCAAGAAGAACACCATTCTTCAAGCCAGCTCCCTTTGTGACACCACTACACCTTTCAAACTCAAAACCAAATCACAAGGGATTGGCAGAGATACTGACAACAGGAAGCCATCAAACTCCAGAGATGACAGAGAGAGGGAACGTCTCTGGCTTTGCACACACGTATGCTATCATTTGATTTTGTGAATAACTATAATATTATTTACAGGAAAATTTATCACATCGTGTTAGAAAATCTCTCTCTACACATCATACAAGCATGATGCATGGGATAAATTCACACTTCTTACACAGATTTTCCTGCTGACACTCTAACTCTGAAACTCCCAGTAATTTAGCTTGCAGTGTAGCCTCAGACTTGGCACTCTGGATATGTATTTATTGATGTTCTTTTAGGAACTTATTCATATAACAGAAAGCCTAAGGTATAAAATCAACACAATTATTAATAAAAAAAATCTCATTACATTGAACAAATTGATTTCCTCAAAAATCAGTGACAAATTCAAAGGAACAATTGCAGCTCAGGATCTAGATTGTGGATCATACAAGAACACTGCACTTCCTCAATACACTGACATTCATATCAACTTCAGAGCTCTCACATAGTGCCCTCTTTTTTGAAATATATCTTCTTACATCCTTCACCTACTATTCTGTTTAGAGAGACAGTGTTTGGATAAGTAATCCTTATCTTCTTCAGATCCCTTCCACTACCCTCAAGAGCAAACAGATGGCTAACTATGATGAGTAGGCTCTACCCACACAAAAATTCACAAGAAAACAAACAAGTATTCATTTTACAGTCACTTCTGTTCTTTGAGCTGTTCTGTTCATACAGCTTCCACTTGGTGTCACAGTACAGCTCTGGTCTTTCCTGAGCTCTAAGTGGCACCTGGGAGTGCAATGTTCTGCATACTTCAAGTTAAAGTAAAGGCAGAAGCTACTTGTTCCTCTGTGTAGCTTTTCATGCATTTAAAGTTACCCCAAGCTACTATGCAAGAGATACAGACAGATGTTATCTTGAACCACATGTTACAGATTAAAGAGCTTCCTAGTTGTTCAAATACCTTTTTTAAAAGGAAAAAAAAAAAAATAGAAAAACTTAATTTCACAGAATCATAGAAACATAGATTGTCTTGAGTTAGAATGGCTTGGGTTGGAAGGGACCTCAAGGATCAGCAAGCTCCAGCTCCCCTGCTTCAGAGACTTGATGTGAGCTATTAGATTAATTTAGTTCAACTAAACATGGGTACATATTTATGGAAGAAAAAAATAATTGTGTTTGTTATGTGCAATGTTCATATTAAACAAATAGCAACAAAATCAATGACAAATGCAAAATTCTTCAACATAAGATTTCATGAAAAGACCAGGACATTGAGAAGCTTAGTAATAATTGCACATTCAATCCAGGAAAAAAAAAAAAAGAAGGAAAAGAAAAGAAAAAAAGGATTTCCATTACCTTACAAATCCTTATATCCCATGCTTTAACTTCTGGACTGAATCCTCCACAAATGAAAACATTTGAATCTGTAGGGTGGAACTTCAGCGTGCTGATTCTAAATTCATTTTTACTGCTGATGATTTGCCTCCCTAAAATAAAGTGAGAACTGAAAATTAGAATTTGATCAGAAAATGAAACATTTTATTAATTTCAACCAAGTTTCAAAAATATCTAGGTTTTTAAAGGTGAATGTTTCTATTTGAACATTTCAAGTGTCAGACTCCTCTGCTTTTCTGAAAACATAAGATTGAAATCAGTAATTTCTTCCCACATTAAACAAATCCTGCACCACTGACTGCTTTTTACTGAGAACTTTTTACTGAGAGAAGAGAATCAGAGGGTTGGCACACAAAGGAGAAGAGCACCACCAAGGTCCCCATTCAGCTGATAGAGCTAAATCTCCAAATCTAACAGAAGAATATTTCCCAAAAAGAAGTCATAGTCTTTCTTTTATCAGTGGGATGAAAATAATAACCATAAGTAAAGAGTACTGTCTGTATAGACATCCCACATTCCAAAATGTACTACAGCTCTCGAGTGGTTTATATTTCTGTGAAGAGAGGATTGAGCCTCCAACTTGAAAGAAGGCAATAATTTGCATATCTTATGAAGGCAATAGCTGTTCCCATGGATACACTGTTCCCAACATTTAATTGTTCACACTAATCTTCATAGGATCCTGTGGCTAATATCAACTGTATTGTACACTCTTTCAAAGACAACAGAATTCAGCAAGGTTAATTGATAGGACTTTTCCACAGTCCACTGCCTTTGTTCTAACAAATTCATGACATTAATGTACATTCACTGAACTATTCTTTTTGGACTAGCAGCATAGATAAAGATTAATACTTCATATCACAATTTCAACTGCGTGTTATCTTCCATATATCAGACAGAGCAGCCCTTCAGTATCTAAAGGGAGGTCTATGAGAAAGAAAGGGGAAGACTCTTTAGCAGAGTCTATTGTGACAAGACAAGGAGAAATGGTTTCAGACTAAAAGAGGGGAGATTTAGGTTGGATATAAGGGAGAAGTTCTTAATCACAGGGGGGGCAGGAAGGAGAAACTGCAACAGGTTGCCCAGAGAGATGGTAGATGCCCTGACCCTCCAGACATTTGCTGGACAGGGCTTTGAGCACCTGATCAGCTGTAGGTGACCCTGTTCATGGCAGGGGAGTTGCACCAGATGACCTTTAAGAATCTCTTCCAACTCAAGCAATCTTATGAATCTGTGATTATAAAGTTACAGTGAAGAAGCCAAAGAAAAGCTTATACTATTACAAAGCCTCTTAAAATATTCATTAATCCAGATTTTCAGCAAGCGAGAGATGCCTTAAGAGTCTTAAACAACTGAAAATACTTTGAGCTAAAAACATTAGTGATGGGTGTAAATACTTCAGTTAGGTCAACAATACTGAAAATTTAGCTTTTTTCATGCTCATTTTATGATTTAGAGCTAATTAATTTGATTTCATCATCAGTTCCACTTTCACCATCTGCTCAAATAAGCTTACACAGTCAAGAGGATAAGGCTTGTCAAATTATTTACTTATTCATTGTAAAGAAAAGAAGAGAAAGATTGTACTTCATCATGCATGTACTCTTCGAGCTGGCACTGGCAAGGAAAATAGACTGCAGGGATTTTAAGGAGGGGAGGCTGCTGTTCCACATGAACATTGGTTGCTTTTTTTTTTTTCTTCCTTTTTTAACAGTTCAATCTGTTTGATCTCTGATCATCCATGCAAGATCTAGAGGTCCTCTCTATCACTATTGAGGGGAACACTTAATTCAATCCTCAATGTTCCTTCCCCCAAAAGAAAAAGATGGTCACAAAGGCAGCAGAGGCCTTCTCTTCAAAACATGTGCAACACTGACCATCTTTCTTCCTGGGAGCTTGCAGCATCCTAACAACTAGGTAAGAGAAAAAAAAACTCCATGGAAAAGGAAGAAGTTATTAAAATCATCTATAATAGGAGCAACCAAATATTACTCTAATCTGTGCCACTAAGAGACATCATTCAAAGGCTAGCAAAAAGCTACACAACTATGCATCTTACTCAGTCCTACAGATTACTTGAAAAAATACTGAATTTGCACACAGAGGCTATCTAGTTGGTTTAATAGCACTTTGTTCCCAAGGAATTACGCTTGTATAAGTTTAACAAACACAGGAGTTTAACCATTTTCATATGATACTGTAATCAGAAATTAGAAAAAGTATAGTCTACCTGTTGTTGTAAGAATTACAACATCAGATTAAGCAGTCACAATTCTACAGAAAGCCTACCGTTCAAACAGTATTGCAAATATATGTAAGTCACTCTGAAAGTAATGCCTTCTTTTTATTTCCATGGAAACTACATTAGATACAAAGAGCACAAGAACACAGTTTGATAGAGCAAGTTCTCAGCTACAAAACACTATTTCTCAACATAGTCACCAGCACTAGCTGTGCATTTTCACCAGCCACGAACAACAGCCTGCATGCTGTGCTCCTAAATATCTGCATCAGTGGAAGTCTGTCACTGTTGCCACTGCTGAATGAACCCCCACCACCACACTGTGCTCACATCCTCTGTTTGGTGTCCATTAACATTCAGGGATGTCAATGGGTGCAATTGTTTCCACATGGAGGAATTTAGTGAAACACCTTTGTTTGCAGCACAATGTAACTGAATACTGGCAGGAAGGTTCAGCCTCTACTGCCGCACAACCAACAACCATCTCTGATGTTGCATGCCAACAGAGTAAGCAATACTTTTGCAGCAGCCCTCATATTTAAAGATCCAGTGGAACTTGTCATCTTGCATTCTGAAGAGCATGAACTGCTCAACTGAACTTACTGAGATCTAGTTTTACCTCCACAAGACTTCTATCAATTTGTTACAATTAAACATATTCAACTTCTGGGGGCCTTATTTTATATATTGCCAAAGATGTTCTTTGAGCAGAAAACTCCTTTATCTGCAAGAGAGTACAATGGTTGTAAATCAGCAAGCTTGTACCTATCTTTATTGTATATGTATTTACTGCATGTAAATATCTATCCGATAGATAGGAACCAACCAACCAACTATAGATAGGTGCCCAACCAACTCATCAAGTGCAGAAAATTCTAGTTTCTGAAACTTGATTTGGCTAGGGAAGACACATCACAGATCATTTTCTTCAGTGAAGACCGTTAATCCAAAGCAAACAGTTCCCTCAATCTTTAATTTTCACATTTTTACTAACAATACCTACTACATCTTTGCATTGCGTTTTATACAGTACTTTAATTCAATTCTTCATTCATTAAGGGCTCACCAGTAACATACACAGTATGAAAATATCCTTAAAAGAGATCCTGAACATATGTTTCTGCTCATTTTATGCTGCAACCTACTGTGAAACTGCTCAACTATGAAATCAGATATTTTAAAGGCTATTTAACATTGTGAATTTTTCACAGAACATCAGAACAGTTATTGAGCACAGGATGCTTCTGTAACTGCGTCTAGTGGTCCAAAGGTTCACACTCCTACCTGTGTAATCCAAAACATTCACTTCCATACACTAATCAGTAAAGAAAAGTGGCAAGGACATGAGAGTAATCTTGCAAAGTAGATTAGATTTCCCTACTGTGTTTACAAAAAGACATAAGATAATACTTTAAAAAAAAAAATCTCATTACAGTGACAATCTCTCTCTCTCATGTACAACAGTGAGAAGAAAATTAGATTGATCAGACATGATTCGTTCTTAACAAATTGATGTTGGCTGTTACTTGTCCCTTTTATCTGGCTGTGCTTCCAAATTGTTTAGTTATTTCTCCAAGGAGTAAAGTTACACGAGTTATATGTGTTTATATTTCCTATTTGTTTTTCCCTTACGCAGTCATAAATTTTTAGTACTTCAACTATTAAATTTTTTTACCTTTTGCCCTTGGAAACATTTCAAAAATAACCTCTCCCTCTTCTTAAAAGGAATTTACAATTCTGAATATAAAAACCAACGTAGCACTACCTCCTAGCTGGAGGATGACCACTAATGCGTGTTCAACATATTACTCAATATTGCTGGATTTTTGAGTGGACTGTTGTGACCTCTCAAAGATGTCCATGTGCATTCAAAAGGCTAAAATAAAATTATCTATTAATTTTTTTTTTTTTTTTGTGAGATGTCACATAAAATATTCATGCTAGTACTATCATGCTATTCATGCCTAGTACCATCTACACAGTAGTAGAAAAGTAGGAACAGGAGGAGAAAGTCTCAGTGATCCCAAGTTGATGTTTATTTAAGAACACTAAAATTGCTATCTGAGCAAACAGAATTACATTAGAAATAATCATATTATAACTATAGGGCTAACAAATTTGAATAGAAAAGAAAATAGAAAAGTAAATGTGGGCCACCCTCGTGGAGGTACAAAATATTCCATTAACAAACTCTCAAAATAATTTAAAATAAAATAAATTTAAAAACAGTAAAAATAAAACAGATGCAAGTGACCAGCCTACCACACTATATAAATACAAAATTCCTTTGCAAACCAATGACTACATTTCAGTGCCTTGCCTATGGCAATGTGAAATATTTCAAAATAATTTAAATTCCCCACTGGAACTGTGAACACATTACATTTGAAATCAAGCTCAGTACATGAAGAGAAATACAATTGTAGCGTTTGGCAATTTGGGAAAAGTGCCAAAATTTCTTGGAACATTTCCTCTCTCATAACATTAAAGATTGAAAAGTATCTATAATACACAGATAAAATTAATCCAGCCACTGTTCTGCCTATGCTATTAGTGTTTGCACCATTTCATTTGTGACTAATGAAAAATCCACTGATGAATAACATATTCTAAGAATAAAATAGATATAAACAACTTTTAAAAATATAATTCCCCTTCTAAAATTGGTAGAGAATTTGCATTTCATTTGGATGTTACAGCAGGTAAATGTCAAACATGTCTGATCTTGAATTGTTTATAAAATAAATTTTGTTAGAATAAAATGCTCAGTGCTCTCTCAGAATATTACTTGATATTTGGTGAAGAAAAAAACACTATCAGAATGGTCACAAGTAGAATAGGCATATAAATGCAGTGCAAAATGTACACAACCAAGGAGTCCTGTTGGTTCACATACTGCAGTACCAGTCTTGCATTTCTGAAACCTTTCAGAAAGTTTATTTTTATAATGAAAAAACACAAATGAAATAGAACAATTAAAAATCATTACTCTTCACAAGCAACTCATTTTTTGGATTTACTGATATTTATGAACCTCCATACTGCAGCTCTGAACATGCCCCATGCTAACTGTAGCCACAGAACTGCTCGCGTGAATAACTGAGTTCCTGAAATATTTTATGCATACTTCAGATCAGACCTATACTCTGCAGAATAGAAACAACTGTTTCCATGAAAACCAAATGTGTGGAGAATCATAACTGGATATCCAGGTGTTAGGATAAGGAATGACCATTTATGATAATAAATGATAATCTATTAAAAATTTAGAAGGTTTGAACAACATCTATTTTCAAATTCACTAAACTAGGGCAAGTTAATACAATGTACCTCATTACTTGAGTTCTTTTTGTTCCCTGTTCTTCCCCATAGCACCACTGAACCCAAATCATAGCACTACTGTAGCACAATAGGCTATGGAACAGGCTGCCCAGAGAGGTTGTGGATGCCCCATCCTTGGAGACATTCAAGCTCAGGGTGGAAGGGGCTCTGAGCTGTAGGCATTCATTGCAGGGGAGCTGGACTAGATGACTTCTAAGGGTCCCCTCCAGCTCAAAAGATTCTATGATTCTACGAATCTAGCAAGCTGGACTTTCAGTATTTATCTAGTCTAATCCCTTACTCAAGATCAGATCTAGTTGTGGCAGGTTCTGAAGTATGGAGGCTTCTCTAGAATGCCTGTTTTAGTGATGGTGACCTTGATTTGAGACAGAGTTCTCAGTATTCCTATGTTTGTTCTTCATCTCCCATCCTTTCAAGGAAGAGCCTGTCACTGTTTTCTCTATGGTGGCACTTTCCTTTGAAAAACCTTCTAACTGGCTGTCATTAGACCCAGAACAAACAAAATGGCCATAATTTTCAGTTAAGAAGGCAGAGAAAAACAACTCAAAATGCTTCCTTCAAATAAATAAATAAATCCCCACACCTTTAAAAGCCATTCTCTACAGTCTGTAGGGTTTCTTCTGATAAAGATGTAGCAATTTTTATAACATGTATGTAATATAGGAAAAAAAATGTACTGAAAACTAAAATGAGAAAGATTAAAACTCAGCAAAGTTGACTAAAATGTTGAGACAGAACAATATGTACAAGAAATGAGCACAGAGCCTTAAAGACAGCATTATTTATAAAATCCCATCAGTACGCATTTACTGCATTTAAGCCTATTGCTAGTTAGTTCAGTCTAGCTGTGGAAAGTAATTAACAGTGATGTCCAAAAAAGCATATAAAAGTCCTCTGTGAAGAAACAGTTCTACCATGTATCTGAACTTAATCAAAGAAGAAATCATTTTGGTAGAGATGAACAGCAAGGAGGAATGAATGATTCAGTGAACTAATGTAAATCAAAATCTTATATCAGCCTTAGAGTTTTTCAAATGGAAATGAGTCTTTTTATATCAAATTGATTTGAATTCCAGAGGCAAACTGCTTGCCCAGTTTCTTTGGAAAGAATTGACTGAAATTATGAAAAAGAGTAACTTTACAACAGAGAAGGAAATGGCCTGGATGTGTATGAAATCTGGAAAAAATATCTATCCCTTACTCTCAGTTTCCAAGTCAGGCAAATATCACTGAAAGCCAGTTCGAAATATCAACAGTAGAAATGCAGTTGACAGAAGAAACCCTGTATTCATAAAATAAGGCAATAATGAACACCCTGTATTTTAAACAACTCTGATAAGTCATTTTGCCTTTGAACATAGAATTTACTCATGCAGTAAGAAATAGCTCAGAGGTCAGTAAGGAAGGAGCCATCTATAAGCTCATCTGTTTTGAAACTCATGCTAAAAATTATGCTAAATACTGCTATTGTTTCCATCACCTAAAAACGCTAGAAATAACTTTGTAATAACATAGAGTGAACAACTATCATTCCATTCCTGGACAGTTACATGAGCAATTTTCAAAATTAAAATAGATTATTACAATTATGTACCTCTGGAATTTTTTCAATAACTTTAGGAAACAAGACTTTGCCCCGGTAGTCCTTTCAAATGGCTCAGGCACATGAAATGTATTCTGTCACTATAAATCCCCTCAGTGACAGAAGCCATTCTGTTCTAGATTTATAAGCACTCCTGTCAAAAGTTACATCCACATAGATTAGTAAATTTCAGTTACATATGAGTCTAGAAACAAGACGACTGCTACAATTAAGGCTGAAAATAAGAAAGATAAAAAGTCTTATAAAATAAATGGCTTGGTATATTACTTCATGTAACACTACTACATCAGATATATAAATTCTTCTTACTGTTAAAACCACGAATATTCTGAAAACACCAATATTGTATAACTGTCTCACATGTTTTACAGTATCTCCCTTCCAGCCATCACTGAATTTAAAAACTTCTTTTGTGTGACAAATATATATAAAAAAAAAAATTCTTAGAGCATGAAAGAGAACCTTTCCTTGATGCGAACAATATTCACAAATTTCCTTAACCACTTTCTCAGTATTCCCAGTTTATTCAATTCTCCAGATACTTCCATACAAATTCCTTCTTAATTTTATATAGGATAAAACCCTCTTAAACAAAAGCTTCTTGTCATTTTTGTATGGATGTCTTTTGCAGTGTTATACAAAAAACATTACATGTTTGCAGAGGTAAATATTTAAAAACAAATTAAGAAGGAAAAATAACAAAATTGCATCTCTTCAGTAAACCATTTGAGGCCTAATCCCACATTTATACACACACAGATGTCCTGTTATGAATGGCCCCAAAGAACACCACTGTATGAATGCTGATAACATAGATAAAGGAGAAGCCATTTGGCTTGTGAAGGAAATGTGAGGAGGCAGAGCATTAATTGAAAATTAATTGTTGAGTTCACAACGTTCAAATTCCCAATCAAATTCACAATGCAGATTCAATCTCAGGTTTCACATCGGAATTTATGTCTCAATGCTCTGTAGCTACATACAGAAGTCAATCTTAAGGGGTTCTGCAAACACTTTAATGAATGATTGCAACAGCGTAAAAAATACTCAGGCACCATTCTGCCTACTTGTGCAGTATCTGACAACAGAAATTGCATGTGGTCACGAGGTTAGAGACATTCTGGTCTTCTCAAGAATCTTCAACTACCCTTAGTTGTGAGAAACTTTTTAACGAAGGACATCTCAAGAATTCTAACCTTGATCTATAGATTTTATGCATGTTTTCAAACGAAGCTCACAAGATCCAAATTTATCTGCACTCAAAATACTGCTAAAATGTACTAGTATGTGACCTTTACCTGTCTCCACATCTGTTAGGTGCAGCATGGAATCAAAGCCACCACTGAGGATCCTTCTTCCACAGGATGACCACTGGGCAGCTCGGACGGCACAGGAATGACAGGAAAATGTCCTCAAACAACCACCTGTGTCCACAGCATCCCATACCTTAAAAAAAGATAACGGCAACTTTAATCATTAAGAAGAGAATAATTTTTTCAATGTACCGATAACCAGTTAGAGCAAATCATTTTCTGACTAAGAAAGCTTTGCATTCCAAATGCATATTTGTTAAGCCGTAAATATCTGTTTGAAATAATTGCACGGTTGATTAGAATTAAGGCATTTTATTAACAAGGCATGAATATGTAATGCATTTTCATGACTTACATTATTTTTTGAAACATCTCTATTGCTCTCAGTGGCATTCTGTGTTATAATTTTCCATCTATATTTCTGCTCTTCTGTACATGGTGGCATCTAAATACAGTTTCTCCTTAAATCATTTTTTCTTTGAAGTTTTTTGCTTTTATCAGACCTTCCTAGCAAATTGCAGCTTCCACATCTGCCTATAGATGGGCTATAATCATATTTCTCAGTCTTGCAGTTTTCAGTTTTAAGTAAAATTTTTCTTAATATTGCTGAGGAGTCAGATAAGAATATCATCCTAGAAATGTAAAGAAAGGATAGGCCTAAGCCCTCATTTTTCAGTTTATTTCGGACCAAATTAGATCAATGCTCAGCACATCTGAAAATCCGATTCTAGTAGTTATCTGCTTATTTTTATGTAACAACTAACATTTGCAGAATATAAATAGCTCAATTCATACTTTAAGAAGCATTTTAAAATATAAATTGTTTAAAAAGACATTTTAGAAAAAAGAACTACTTGATGTAATTATAATTTCAATTACTAAATGTGTTTTGCAATAATCAAGAGCTCATCCTTTTTACCATATTCTTTTGTCATAATTTTTAGCAAAAATTACAAGTTTAGAAACAAATGACCCATGTAAAGATTTTACATGCTTGTTTCTGTGAGAAAAAGGCTAAACATCCAATTTTTCTGATTAATATTGCACTTCGGTAAAAGGTCAGTCATAAAATATCTCATGATCATCTGATAACAGCTGTTATTTGGACTGTCTAATGAAATACATACCAACTGCTATAATACTGGTAAATCCTCAATTTTATTTCTTCTAATATTAGTAGTACAAATAAGTCAACGCTTTGGTAGTGCTTCATGACAGGTTTATTACAGTATCAGTCAGAAAGTAAAACCCAAGGCAATTTATTGCTTTGAAGTCACCATTTTACTTCAATATACTTCTCTTGGTAATTAGTCATTTCCCTTCTAAAACTAGTGTATTTTAAATAACATTGCTTATGAGCTTGGAGGGTTACTCTGAATTTTGTCTAATCTAATTAACTAAATTTTGAGATTGTTTATACAATACTGGGAACACACTAGGCAATTTGCAGAATATTAAAAAATGACCTTTTTAATAAGTGAGACCAATTTTTACTTTTAGATATGTCTACATGAGTCAGTACTGAATTACAATTGACTGCACATCTGTGTCTTTTAAAATACATTAAAACAGTAACAATTCAGTAAATGAGAGAAAAATAGGTATGTACCTTGTAGCATCAGCACAATTCACAGAAAAACATATGCAAGAAAGGAGCAATGAAGACTTCTGGTCATGCATTTTTATTTTGAATTCTGTTTTTCCTCACACTAAACAAAAAGGACTTGCAATACCATTATTAGGCAGCCTATACCCAGAAAGCAATATTACATTATACAGAATTATTTCATCTAAGGATCTTCTAGCACAGACTATAGTTCTGCAACGCAAAGCAATCAATTACTATTAATTACTTGAATACTCAGTTAAGACTGTAACTGTGATGGCCATATCCAAAAAAAGAAAAGAAATCAGGAAAATGTAATATTAAGCTGCTTTTGAAAGCAAGTTTTTCTGCTTTAATGAGTTTTAATGATCATTTCAAGCTTCACAGTATTAAAAAGGGTTAATTGCATCTTGGAGGGCTTTTAATATGAAGAAGCTAATGAATGAATCCAGATGAAAGGAAAAACAGGTGGTACATGCCTCAGATATTTTTCCTGTCATGTTTCCCTGATTAAGTACGAAAACTTAATTTTCACAAGAAAGATGAAGTAAAGCAAGTTCTTAGCACTAGCCTGATTAGGGGAAAAAAAAAAAAAAAGAAAGAAAAAACTGTATAAATGGGAAAAGTGTAGCCTTAAAACTGCACATTTCTCTCCATTTTGTGAAATGGAACTGATTGACTCACGTGGATGAGACTACCAAGCACACACCAGGGAAAAGTCACTCAATATCACATTTCTCCCTGCAATTATATTCTCTATCAGGTCCTTTTGCTTAGGCAAGAGCGGTGTTGCAATGCCTTCTGGTATTACAGCAGCATGGACAAGGCAGACTTGAATGAAGATGTTCGCTTAGCTTACCCATCAATTAATATAGAATCATGGACTCATAGAATCACAAGGTTGGAAATGACCTACAAGACCATCGAGTCCAACTGTCCTCCCGCCACCATTGCTACCACAAGCTACTAAACCACATCCTGTAGCATCTCATCCAGGTGCCTCTTGAACACTGCCAGGGACAGCAACTCCACCACCTTCCTGGGCAGGCCATTCCAGTGTCTGACCACTCTCTGAGAGAGAGAGTTTTTCCTCATGTTTAATTTAATCCTCCTCAGGCACATCTTGTGGCCATTTCCTCAGGTCCTGTTTGTTGCCTGGGAAAAGAGGCCAAACCCCTCCTCATCACAACTTCCCTTCAGGTAATTCTTTACCAGGACCATATGCATTGCAAATGGTTGGAGCTGCAGGGGCTTTTAGATACCTTCCAATCCAAGCCGTCCTATGATGATTCTGTGATTCCCTTTCAAGTGTCTTCCCACTTGTCCTCATGTTTCCTCGTGTGTGCCCTTGCATTTTCTGCACACAGTGGCTGCCCCCATTCCTAGCAATAGCAGATGGGGTCTTCCTGAAGGAATTTTTCAAATCTTTTGTCTGGTGAATGTACCTCAGTCTAGCTTTAATACATTAGTGTGTGCCCCATTTCATCCACAGAACAGTTTCAAATTTTTAAGTTTCCGTGTTCATTTTCCAGGACAAGGGAAGCTCTACTTGCTATTTGCAAGACAAGGTATTTGATATTTGCAGTTAGCTCCTCAGCAATTGCTTAAGGGACACAGTCATGCCCACAAAATGTCATATAAAGGTGAGCCATCAACCTGAAAATCAAGATACAAAAGTGTGTGCAGCACTGAAAACAAGGCAATTAACGAACAAGCTTTGCACATTCTATACACATAAGAAATTACCAAAAAGGGAGAACTATGAATGCTTAACTGTAATAGAATGTCTCTAACCCAAGTGATGAAAACTCTTCTGTGCTTAAAAGCAATAGAGATGTTAACTGAGCTTTGAGAACAAATGGAGAACCTACTGCGTGTCATTACCAAATTCCATCAAAGGATCATCACAATGACGACATCATATTTGCATTCTTAAGTAGTTCTTCATTTCTGTAGTATGGTTTTTCCACTACTTTAACAAAACAAACAAGAAAAAAAAAATGGAAAGGTTTTGCTAACAAGAGAATTCCATATATTCCATCATATACTCCATCAAATGCTTCAGATGATTGCCAGCTCTATAGCTGGTGCTTATTCGCTATGGGCATCCACACATATTAAGAAAAGGAAGGAGACTGCTGCACAGGGATGAACCTTGTCTATGCAAGATCACTTCTCTCTGACAAACATTCAAATGTCAGATTAACAGATTCTCCAGGATGAAAAGTATTTTAGGGCTTTTCTTTCAACTGCCTAAGAGATTGTTAAGTAGTTGAGGAATAATTTATGTGCAAGTTTTTCTAGACTTGCTTTCTTTGCTTTATTTATATGCTGGCTCAAGCCAGTATAGAACAATAAGGCTAAAACGAAAGTCTAAAAGACTGCATTGATGTATCCTGCAGAGCTGCAAAAGACTCAACATGATGCCTAAACATGGAATCGCATTCTCTAAATTACCATGGTAAATAATAAACAAGCATCACTTAACCAGTGTAGAGCACGACAATTGCGCTGGTTACAATATAGCCACCAGAATTCAGCAACAATTTTTTTTTTCAAGTCTTGATGAAAGATACATGACAAGAATCCCCTAGAAATAAAGGACTATTAAAACTCAGCATCTAAGAACAGTGTATAAAAGTCACTACTGTTATAACTACAGCTTTAATCTCAAAGAAACTGGTTTTAAGAAGTTAATTATCTTAAAATTACTTAGAAATATTTATTTTATATACCAAACATTGCTGACCTCTAGGCATACCAGAAATATAAACCTTTAACATAAAGATCTATAAAACGAACTTACGGATTTACATGAAATAAAGGATTACATATCCAGTACATAATAAAATATTTAGGCAGGGGGACAGTTCACTATAACTATATACAGGCTGAGATATACGTATTTTTCCATAGGTGTTCAAACATGCATGTCAACTATTATAGGACTAAAAGCTATCTCACATCTGTCTGGAAGGACACATCTATATTTAACTATTTTTACCAAGAGATCAATTGTTCTAAATGTTGCTGCTTCCTTCCAAAACTCAGTTCTTACTGACATTCAGTACTATTTCTACCTGAAATAAATTCTCATTAAATCAGAAGTTGCTCTTTTACGTTGTGATGTTACGTGTGATTTTAATTGCTGAGGTAAAAAGTTGAAAGCACAAATTTCAGTCCTCTACCCTGAAAACTTTCTGCCACATTTTCAAGCAACATTTTACATTATAACAGTAACCATCCATCCTTTCCATTCACAAAGAACCCCCAAAACATTAAAACATGTGATTGCCATGAGTAAAAAGGCATGCATCATTGTATTATCTACTCCAAATCTATGGTTACAAATGAACTCTCCAAAATTTGAAAGAGAAACAGCCAAGATACAAAGATTTAAAATTAGCTAATTATTTTCAAAGATTTTCTTCACTTCATTTCTAGAATTACGGTATCATGAACACTTCAAATGCGTTTTTTCCCATTTTGTTAAAATTGGCTTTAATGTGTCAAGCTCATTCATTTTT